AATATTAATATAGATGTACTTAGTGAATTAATCTGGTGGCTGTATCTATTTAACCTTTGCTAGTCCCCAATAACCACACTGAGAGACCAAGATTTATTTCAAGCTGCCCCTCAAAAGCTAAGCAGTTAAATGATCTATAATAATCCCTATGCTAATCTGGCTCCTCCCAGCCCTATCCCAAGATACTTACATATTATTATTGATCTGGATCTTCGGGCAGATGTCAGATGTTTCTTCTCATGATATCTTTTCAGATCCTCTCATTTTTGGGCCCACCTTAATTTTGTCCCCAACCTGTCTCCTCCCTCTGGTTGACAGAAGTCCTGCCTTTCTCTCTCTCTCTCTCTCTCTCTCTCTCTCTCTCTCTCTCTGCCCAGCCATTGCATGATCCACGTTTATTGACAAGGCAGAGAATAAGTGGTAAGGGTTGTTTACACAAACTTGAGATAGAAGATTCTTGGTAGAAGCATTACAATGCCATGTCCAGACTGAAACATGAATATGAGAGAAGATAAACCAGCATTTGAATAACACAAGAGTAAACTTTGCAAAGAAGACACTAAAATGTTATGCCTACATTTCTCCTTTTTTGTCTATTAAAATGCTCTTTTTTCTCATAATGTATACCATATACAATAATAACAATTATGAAGGTTATCAGATATGGCTTACTTTATAATGTCTAGTACATAGGTATTTGACAATCTGGAGAAAGTATTCTATTGTCTATCCTATGTTGGTGAGTTAGAGTTTGTATCTAAATCATTTTTTATCCTCACTTGTATTTCCATTCTAAAAAACGTCTTAGACCTAAAAATATCTACTTAAATTCTAAACAACTCTAGCATAATTGTGAGACTGTAACTATGTAGTCTTCAACCACATCAGTGACCTGAGAAGGAATAAACATTACCTGAGTAAGTAAAAGTGTAGACAGGCAACTTCCAAAACTATAGAGATGACAGAGAAGCAGGCTGTCTAGACAGTCACCCAGAATTGTCTCTATAATGTTGCAGCATCCATCTTTACCTGTCTGACCCAGTATATCTGACAGACCCTTGGTTAAGCAGGAACTATGAAGGACTTGCTCACCCTGTCTTGGCAGAGCTTGGCAGTTGACTTCCTTGCATCTGTTTGTCCTTTCTAAACAGCAGTTTGTCTGTAGATGAAGTTAGGGCATTTTTTTCCCAGTGTCTAGCTTGCCATAATTGAAGCAACTCCATGTGGAGGTTATTCAATGCTCATCATCATCTGTGAGGTGGAATGGGGTTACTGTCAGGAGCAGACCTGTCCTATTGTCAAAGAGATTTTTTAATAATGAAACAATGTTAAATATCATTGTAGATCTCTGAGGGTTTTGAAGAACATCTATCTGTCTATCTATCTATCTATCTATCTATCTATCTATCTATCTATCATATCGCTGATTTGTCAAACATTATTTGTAGCTATTTACTATCTGAATAACTTTGAAAACATCTTCCTGTGATTAACTAAACTAGTATCTAACATGACCATGAGTTTGTCTATTTTTTTAAGATTTATTTATTTTATGTATTCACCATTGCTCTCTTCAGACACAACAGAAGAGAGCATCAGACCCCATTGCAGATGGTTGTGAGCCACCATGTGGTTGCTGGGAATTGAACTCAGGACCTCAGCAGTCAGTGCTCTTAACCACTGATACATCACTCCAGCCCTGATTGCCTGCCAATTAACTTGTATTTTTTATCCATTCCTAACAGCTTATAATAGCAGCTCTCAAAAGGACCAGAATTTTACATTGTATCTTTAAGTATCTGAATAATGCAAGGGTAAACTTCACACAGAAGATACAAAAACATTATGCCTACAGTTGCCACCTAGAGTTGAGAAAAAATGGTTCTTCAGGGGTCTTAGGCTAGCCCAAGAGAAGATGATTAGCCTCTGGATTTGCAACATTCCAACCCCTCCACATCACTGCAGTTCTAATCAGTCTTTGCAGACACAGATTCTTTTTTTATTTTTTTATTTTATTTTATTTATTTTTTCTTTTTTTCTTTTTATTATTTTTCTTTTTCTTTTTTCTTTTTTTTTTCTTTTTCTTTTCTTTCTTTTTTTTTTTTTTTTGCAGACACAGATTCTTTGTAGGAATTCTCATTGATGCCTGGAACTCTGTGTAGATCAGGCTAGCCTCAAGGACACCTGCCTGTGCCTCTCAAGTGTGGTATTAAATAGATTAAAGGTCACCATGAGAAACAAACCTGATTGTTTCATTCCCTGCTGAAACCCATTCAAGGCTGTCACACTGACTTGAGTTCAGGCCATGACCTTTACCTGCTCCCCAAAGCCCTGTGGGAGGTGGCCCCACCTGTTTACTCCCCGCTTGACTGCATGGACTCCAATGGCAGCCCTGCCCTGCTTCCACCTGCACACAGCCTTGGGCTTTGCTGAGGCCTGACCTGAAAGCTCCTGCCTCTGGGTCTCCCCTAGTTATTTCCACATTACACTCAGACCTCAGCTTCTTCAGGGAAGGTTTGAAATCTTCCTTCTAGAAATCTCCTCTTCAGAAACCTCACGTCTAGGTATAGCTTCCCTCGCACGAGGCACTGGCAGAGTCACGCCTCTGCATATGTAGGTGTCTGTCCCTGAAGGACATCAGATCCCTGAAGGTCATGGCCGTGGATGTAGGCCCTCAGCTATGCCCTCCCCTGAGCCTAGCAGTGGATTCTCCACAAACATTGTTCAAATAAGTTTGTGCATGCCAGGGTGTGGGGCAGGAGGATCTAGATGTTCCAGGATTTCAGATGGGATGGACAGATCAAAGGTCACCCTTTTCCCTCCATGACTCTCAGAAATAAGATGATTTTCTAAAAGCATAGAGTGTACACTTCCATTCTCTGTGTCCTGAGGTGACAGTTTTATGTTATGGGACTTTCTCAACATTTTCAACTGATCATCAAGAAACACATTCCTCCATTCTGTTTGTGCTGCTAGAGCCAGGGGAGCCAGGGGAGCCAGGGGACCCAGGGGGGCCAGGGGAGCCAGGGGAGCCAGGGGAGCCCGGGGAGCCGAGGTAGCCAGGGGAACCGGGGGAGCCGGGGGAGCCAGGGGAGCCAAGGGAGCCAGGGGAGCCAGGGGAGTCCGGGGAGCCGGGGTAGCCAGGGGAGCCTGGGGACCAGGGGAGCTGGGGGACCCAGGGGAGCCAGGAGAGCCAGGGGAGCTAGGGGACCAGGGGACCAGGGGACCAGGGGAGCTGGGGGACCAGGGGAGCGGGGGGGGGAGCCAGGGGAGCCGGGGGAGCCGGGGGACCAGGGGAGCCCGGGGAGCCGGCAGCCAGGGGAGCCGGGGGAGCCGAATTCTTAGACTAGTGAGAGCAGAGAGGGGCTGCGCTCGTCAGAGGGCAGGAGGGCAGGTTAGGGAGGGACAAGGCCAGGCTCGATGGAGACAGAAAGTCCAGTGGCAGTTTCGAGGAGGCAGTAGGTGAGAGGACAGGAAGGGTCCAGCTCATATGTTTGCTGTTAAAGGGCACTAGTGGGAAACAGGCTGGATTTCACCCAGTTCCTTGTGATGGATGCTATGAAAAACGTGCCTGCTCAGCTTCCTGTTCCTCTGAGGTGTGAGGAGTGGTGGGAGAGCCAAGCCTCAAGCGCCTGTGGCTGGAGCTGTCTGCTGCCATCCTTTCCATTCTCCTAGGCAGGAAGATGGCAAGTTCAAAGGCTGCCTGAGCTACAGTGTGAATCCAAGGCCGGTCTGTGCAATTCAGTGAGACCTCATCTCAAAGTAAGAATTAGTGTGTGTGTGCGTGTGTGTGTGCGCGCGTTGGGGATGGAGGTTACTGGGGTTTGATCCTAGTGCCTTGAGTCCACCAGTGTGGAGAGATGGCTCCACAGTGAAGAGCCCTTGCTACTCTTACAGAGGACTCTCCAGTTCTGAGGGATCCAGCGCCCTCTGCTGGCCGCTGTCAGCATCGCCTTTATGTGCTCAGGCAAAACACTCAGACACAGAAAACAAAAAATTAAATTAAAAACATACGGAAAGCACAGGAGCACAGTGGTAAAATGCTTGATTTGTGGGCTCAAGGTGCTGGGCTCAAAACCCAGTGACCTCCATTCCCAAAACACACACACACACACACACACACACACACACATACACACACACACACACACACAGCACAAGGCCGGGGATGAGACTCAATGTGACTCACTCACTTCAAATGCACAAGAACCTTTTTTTTTTCTCTCAAGAACAGCAGATGGAAGTAAATGAAAATGAAGTAAGAGTTCAGAATGTGGACAGGGTGGAGAGACAGCTCAGAGGTTAAGAATCCTGGCTGCCCTTCCACAGGATCTGGGTTCAAGTCACAGTCCCCTTGTAGAGGCTCTCAACTATTTCTAACTCTAGTTCTGGGGACTTAACTCCCTGCCCTAGACTCTACAGGTACTGCATACATATATGTACACACATGCAGACACAACATTCATATGTATGAAATAAATAATGTTAAAAGCACCTGTAATTATGCATAGCATATAATCCTAAAGAGTGACAAAAGCTGTTAGTAATTTATGCACTTATGTCATTACTCTATTATTTCATAGTATGTATTTTCTGAAGAGTAGCTGCCACAGCTGCATGACGGTGCCTGAGTATAATCGTAGCCACCCAGAAGCTGAGGCAGGAGGATCATGAGTCCCAGACAAGCCGGAGCTACATAGTGAGGACCAGGTTAGACTGCAGCATAGAGAGAACCTGTCTCACAAATCACAAGTACACACATAAATATGTTATAAACATGTGCTGTGTTATACCAGAACACCCTCACACACCCATGCTACTGTGACTCCTGATGGACATACAACATACACTACATACAGATTCTACACATCACATAACCACATGTGTAACACAGGACATGTCATGTAGGTTCACGTAAGTACACTGTATGTTCACATAATGGTTTCTGGAACATATCCAGATGTTAAGTGATGAATGACCACATGAGAGGTGCCACAGGCTGTGTGGTAGGTAATCTTCATTGTCAGCTGGAAGGGATTTAGAGTCTTCGTGGAAACAGCTCTGGGCACATCTAGAATGCATTTTCTGAAAGGTTTAACTGAGAGAAGACCCACTCTGGATGTGTGTGGCACCATCCACAGCAAGGATCTCATACAGAACAAGAAGGAGAAAGCAGACTGAGCACTAACATCCCCAGACAGTAGACTCAACATAACAAGCCAACCCCAGCTCCTGCACTGTGCCTACCCAATGCGGTGACTGTATCCCTTCAAACCACGAGCCAGGATAAACCCTTCCTTCCTAAGGTGTCTCTTGTTGCATAGTCAGTCACTGTGATGGGAAAAGTAACTGTATTGGTTACTGTAACTGTATTGGTTACTTTCTGTTGCTCTGATAAAACATTATGTCCAAGGCACCTTACAGAAGGTTTATTTGGAGTGTGGGGTCCATAGAGTTAAGAGTCCATCATCATCATGGTAGCAAATGCCAGGCATGACAGCAGGACTGTCTGAGAACTCACATCTCCAACCATTGACTCAGTGACATACTTCCTCCAGCAAGGCCACACCTCCTAAACTTCCCGAAACAGCACCAACTGGGAACTAAGTATTCAAATGACCAAGAATATGGGGGTCATCTTATTCAAAGGGCCACAGTAACTAACACAGACAGTGACACCCAAGCTCTCAGTGCAAATATGGGATCTTCCAGGCAGGAGCTGACACTGCCACAGGTGGGACCTGGGCCAGAAGGCTTGGTTCTCCAGAGTCATCCAAGGCAATGCTGGTACCTATCAGGCCAGGAAATGGCTTTTCTAATGTCATGGTGGCCAGCTCTCCTGTGTGACAAGTGCAGTAATGAGGGGACCCTTGGAAAAGACCAAACCCATTGAACTGTGAGAGGATCAAAGAGATTGCTCAAGGGGTAAAGGCACTTGCTACCCACATTTGATCAATGGAAGCCACATAGTTAAAGGAGGGAACTAACTCCCAAACTTTATTTCAGAGCTGGCCTGGTCTACATACTAAGTTGTATAACAGCCAGAGCTCTGAAGAGATACCTTGTCTTGAAAAACAGAATTAGAAAAGAAACTGAGACAGATACTTTCTGTGCAGCTGCCTAAGGCCAGCGACATCCTTAGGTTAATCAGGATGAAACCTGAGAGCATCAAGTTCCCATGGAAAATACTCACAGCACCTAATAAGAGTGGTTCACAGAAACAGGTTATACTGAATCCTGGTGAGGCTGCTGGGCTGCTGTGGAGACCTGCATGGGGAGGTGACTGGAGTTCACACCTGTGGTCACGCATATTTGTCATTCTATGTGATGAGTGACTCTCATCAGGAGTCCCCGCCCATCTCTGCTCTTTTTTTCCACTTCAGTTTTGTGGGTGTGATTTCAAGGGATCCACAGAATCAAGAAATGTATAAATTTACTTTTTCCTCACACTACCAATCAGGGATGAAACCTCACATCGCCAGTGTGTACTCTCTGGCATAAGAATCATCTTTCTTCCAGTGTCCACACTGGACAAGCCTGAGGATGATCACATCTGGTGTCCCACACAGCTGTGACACTCATGTTCCTCACCTCATCAGCTCATAAGAGTGAGTGAAGGTCAGAGAGAGAGTGAGAGGGTCACAGATTACATAACTTCTACCACACTATCATCATTATTCTGTGTTATAGTCGGTGACAATTCTTCTCCTACTAAGATTGTGTCACTAAAGCAACTGTACCATGCAAGTGGGGACACAAGGAAAGTCCAGTGTAGACAGGGATCAGTGCTCTCCTGTCAGTGGTCTCCACAGGAGTCTCTCTTCAGTGGACAAGGGGGTCTCCTGTGCTGAGACAACGACACAGCTCCACACAGACAAACTCGGGACTGGGAATAAAGATCCTTGTAAATAAAACACACCGGTCTGGAGCCAAACAGAAACTCGAGGAGTCTGAGTCTAAGCCTGAGGCTGAGAAGACAGATCCTGAGGGAAGAGCCAAAGTCTCTTCTTTACAAATGAGAATCCTGCACTCAGGCTTGGCACACTGCAGGTTGACAGAGCCTGGTCTCTGTGGGGTCTGTGTGGGGCTTGCAGGACAGCTCCTCTGCTTTAAGGAGAAGCATCTCTCCACTGCATCCCCAACTGCTTGTGTCACCATTGTATTCCCAGAAGTGGCTTTTCTTCTAGAAGAGTCCAGGCTCTGACTTCTGAAGAGAAGGAAGAAGAGGAAGGGTGGAGGAGAGGACACAGAGAGTCTGGCCTGCAGGTCTCTCCCGGTGTCCAGACAGCTTCTGGGTCAGAACTCGGAGACACAGTGACAAACAGCGCTCTGTCCGCAGCACAGGGTTCAGGCAAAGTCTTAGTCTCCAGGCGGTGAGGTCAGGGGTGGGGAAGCCCAGGGCTGGGGATTCCCCATCTCCCCAGTTAGACTTCTGCTCCTAACCTGGATCAGGTTCTTCTGCCCGGACACTGATGACGCCCTGGCAGTTCTCACCCCCATTGGGTGACGCGATCCCGGGGAACCAACCAACATCGCCGATGGCACTGGTTATGAAGTCCACGCAGCCCCCCGGGACTCAGACTTCCCGGACCCGAGATGGGGGCGATGGCGCCGCGCACGCTGCTCCTGCTGCTGATGGCCGCCCTGGCGCCGACCCAGACCCGCGCGGGTGAGTGCGGGGTCGGGAGGGAAACGGGCTCTGCAGGGAGGGGCGGGGGCGGCACCGGGGAAGCCTCGTCCCCGCGTCGCCCACCGGACCCTCCGCCCCTTCTCCACCCGCGTCCCCAGCCCCGCGCCCTGCTCCCCTCCCGGTCCGCGCACCCGCCCGGGATCCCGGGAGGAGGTCGGGGTCTCACTGCACGCCACCCCCAGGCTCACACTCGCTGCGGTATTTCGACACTGCCGTGTCCCGGCCCGGCCTCGGGGAGCCCTGGTACATTATCGTCGGCTACGTGGACGACACACAGTTCCTGCGCTTCGACAGCGACGCGGAGAATCCGAGGATGGAGCCGTGCGCGCCGTGGATGGAGCAGGAGAGGCCGGAGAATTGGGAGCGGAACACACGGAACGCCAAGGGACATGAGCAGTGGTTCCAAGTGAGCCTGAGGAACATTCTTGGCTACTACAACCAGAGCGAGGGCGGTGAGTGACCCCGGGTCGGAGGTCACGACCCCTCCAAGTCCCGACACAGGGGCAGGAGACGTCCCGGGTCCCAAGTCGAAGGTTCGAGAGTAGATGCGATCCAAGACCGGTTTCCCTTTCAGTTTGGAGAAGTCCGCGGGTGGGCGGGGCCGGGGCGGATGGGCGGGGCTGACCGCGGGGTCCCGCAGTCTCTCACACATTCCAGAGGAGGTCTGGCTGTGACATGGGGTCAGACGGGAGCTTCCTCCGCGGGTACTGGCAGTTTGCCTACGATGGCCACGATTACATCGCCCTGAACGAAGATCTGAAAACGTGGACGGCGGCGGACACGGCGGCGCAGATCACAAAACGCAAGTGGGAGCAGACTGGTGATGCAGAGAGAATCAGGGCCTATCTGGAAGTCGAGTGCCTGGAGTGGCTCCGCAGATACCTGGAGCGCGGGAAGGAGACGCTGCTGCGCACAGGTACAGGGGCCGTGGGCAGCTCCTCCCTCTGCCCTCGGGCTGGGGTTCAGTCCTGGGGAAGAAGAAACCCTCAGCTGGGGTGATGCCCCTGTCTCAGAGGGGAGAGAGTGTCCCTGGGTCTCCTGATCCTCATCACAGTGACTGCACTGACTCTCCCAGCGTCAGCCTTCTCCCTGGACAGTTCCCAGTCTGTCTCAGGAGGGAAGGAGAGAATTTCCTGACAGAATAACAGCAGGGGTTCCCTGCTGTCAGCCATGGCCTCTCCCAGGCCAGGTTCTCTGCCCACACCCACTGTCTGTGGACACTGACTCCTATCCTGCTGAGTGTATCAGCCCTTAGACCTCAGGACTGGAAGTCTCCTTTACCTGATGGGAGACATGGAGTCCCTATATTAGGCAGGTTCCCCCAGTTTCTAGACCTTTCCAAAGAATACATTCTCACAGATCTTTCCCTGTCTGTGAGGTTTGCAAACTTCCAACAACCCAATTCTATCTATTCCTACAGTGGTGAAGGTCACATGAGCCTTATGGGGTACCCTGATGGAATACTAAGTTGTGGGATTTATTTTTGCTTTTTTTTCTCTTTTGTTTTTCCTTTTCATTCTTTCTTACGTTCTTTTTTTCTTTACTTTTTTTTTTGAAGGCATTATTTTGCTTCTAGTCAGTTTTTGTCTGCACTGGAGTGATCCTGTTTCTCCATGCCCTTGTATTATCATTTGTATCAGTCTCCACAGGTGCCAGGTGAGACTGCTAACCTGGATAATTAGACAAGTTAAATCAGAGTTCTCATTAAAGGAGAGATTCTTGTGAGCTTAGACTGTTTCCTGTCACAACTAAACATCCAGAAGCCTCCTGCTCTTCCTCTGCACCCACAAGTTACAGTACTTCCCCTAGTGAAAAGAAATGGGACTTTCTTAGAGACTGGGTCTTCTGCAATCCAGGGCTGGAGTGAGAGAGAAGATCCACATACCCTGTGAGCCCACTGTGTTCCAGTGAGTGCTGCACTGGGGTCCCCAGCACACTCCAGGGATCCTATGTAACACACCTGTATCTTGTAGGCCCAGAGACAGGGGCTGGGAGTCATTTTCTCTGGCTGAGTATCAGGGGTTCACCACATTTCTGCTACACATTTCCTGATGGCTGTTCACTTGGACTGACATTTAGGCTGGTCAGCAAGATGACCACAGTGGTTGAGTCTCAGTGGTGGTACCCTTCCAGTACATATGGCCCTAATTTCTAATATAGATATGAACACAAACACATGTTAAATTACTTATTTTCCATTCCATCTGCCATTCTTTGACTGCCTATCTCATGCTATAGAACATCACATAAGGAAGGCCATGTTGACCCACTGGCTTATGTGGATTCCCTCTTATCTTCTGAGTCAGCCAGGAACATGTGCAGTTCTGTGCTGAAGGGACCAGCTCTACCTGTAGGTCACTAGTGCAATGACAGTTGAAGTGTTCAACAGACACATAGTTCAGTGTCACCATTGATTTAGCTGTATCTTGTGTAGATTTCAGTTTGTCTAGTTAATTATGGGATTTCTTAAATCTTCCACACAGATCCCCCAAAGGCACATGTGAACCATCATCCAAGACAAGAAGGTGATGTCACCCTGAGGTGCTGGGCCCTGGGCTTCTACCCTGCTGACATCACCCTGACCTGGCAGTTGAATGGGGAGGAGCTGACCCAGGACATGGAGCTTGTGCAGACCAGGCCTTCAGGGGATGGAACCTTCCAGAAGTGGGCATCTGTGGTGGTGCCTCTTGGGAAGGAGCAGGATTACACTTGCCATGTGTACCATGAGGGGCTGTCTCAGCCCCTCACCCTGAGATGGGGTAAGGAGGGTGTGGGTGCAGTGCTGGGGTCAGGGAAAGCTGGAGCCTTCTGCAGACCCTGAGCTGGTCAGGGCTGAGAGCTGGGGTCATGACCTTCACTTTGGTTTCCTGTCCCTGTCCTTCCCAGAGCCTCCTTCATCCACCAATTCAAACATGGTGATCATTGCTGTTCTGGTTGTCCTTGCTGTGGCCATCATTGGAGCTGTGGTGGCTTTTGTGATGAAGAGGAAGAGAAACACAGGTAGGAAAGGGCAGGGTCTGAGTTTTCTCTCAGCCTCCTTTAGAAGTGTGCTCTGCTCATTAACGGGAAACACATCCACACCCTGCATTGCTACTGTCTCCAACTGGGTCTGCTGTCAGTTCTGGAAACTTTCTAGTGTCAAGATCTTCCTTGAACTCTCACAGCTTTTCTTCTCACAGGTGGAAGAGGAGGAGACTATTCTCCAGGTGCAGGTTAGTGTGGGGGACAGGATTGTCCTGAGGCCATTGGAGTGAAGCTGAGGATGATGGGAGCTCTGGGAATCCATAATAGGTTCTCCACAGAAATTCTCTGTAGGTCTCATTTGTACGTTGATATGAATACATACACATACACATACACATACATATACACATACATTTGTTTTGTTTGACCCTAGGCAGGGACAGCTCCCAGAGCTCTGATATGTCTCTCCCAAATTGTAAATGTGACACTCTGGGGCCTGCTTGGGGAAGGGCATTGTGGACATGATTGGGTTTCAGGGACTGCCAGAATATCCTGTGAGTGGTGGGTTGTTGGGATGTTGACTTCACAGTTATGGTTCATAACTCTCATTCTCTAGCATGAAGACAGCAGCCTGGAGTGGACTGAGTGACAGACAGTGTGTTCAGGTCTCTCCTGTGACATCCAGAGCCCTCAGTTTTCTTTAGACAACAGTGTCTGATGTTCCCTGTGATCCTCTGGGTTCAATGTGAAGAACTGTGGAGCCCAGCCTGTCCCTGCACTACCTGTGTTCCCTTCCACAGCCAACCTTCCTGATCCAGCCAAACACTGGGGGACATCTGCATCCTGTCAGCTCCATGCTGCCCTGAGCTGGAGCTCCTCACTTCCACACTGAGAATAAGAATCTGAATGTGAACTCGATTGTTAACATCTTGACCTGAGCGTAGATTGCTTGTTAATTTCATGGATTGAGAACACTTAGAGTATTTTTGAAGAAATTAATGGCAGATGGAGAACCTTCCAGACAAGAATCTGTGCCACTAAGCTGTGTGTATCTGTTGGGATAGGATGAGGCTTTGGGAGCTGAATGTGAACAGGGCTGTGCTCAGGTGGAGTCAGTTATTTTTGATGGGTCGCTTTTGGGCCATGTCACCTCAGGGCTCTGCTCTCTCCATCACTATGAAGCTCATGCTGAGAGTCTGTGATCACAAGGACACAGGAATGAGAGATGAATAGACAGATCACAGCCTATACCTCAGACCCTGAGCCTGGTTCTGTTCCCAGGATTCTGTGTCTCCAGGGCTAAAGATCAGACACCACAGTGAGGATCCTTCGATGTTCCAGGTGCACAAGATAAGTCACTACATTTCCTCCTACCTATTTGTTTTAGCTACTAATAATGCAGTCTTGAAGCTGCCCTGGGCACTCCCTGTAGCCATGCTACTGTTGTGGTTTCTTTTTTTCTTTCCAGCGCCTTTTCCAGGGTTCTCAGGTGTCTGGTGTGATCTGTCTGTTCATCTCTCAGGAGCACATCTACAGCTGAGATTATTGGTTCAGATTTTTCAAAATCTATTTTTAATAAATGTTCTTCAATGCTTTATCTCCCTTCCAGCCTAGTGCCCACCAGAAGTAGTGGAAAAGAAAGGTTATTAGGTAGGAAGAAAGCAGACCTGTTTAGAAATGGGTCTTTTGGGCTGGAGAGATGGCTCAGTGGTTAAGAGTACTGACTGCTCTACCAGAGGTCCTGAGTTCAATTCCCAGCAACCACATGGTGGCTCACGACCATCTGTAATGTGATTCGATGTCCTCTTCTGGTATGTGTCTGAAGACAGCTGCAGTGTACTCATATAAATAAAAAAATAAATCTTTAGAAATGAGTCTTTGGAGCAAATCCAGAGTGTGTTGTCAGGATATCAGTAGTTCAGTTCACAAGAATAAGCAACAGCAGGTCAAACTTGAGGAAGCCGGGAGGCTCAGCTGTTTGCTGTTTAGAAGTAGTTCTTTGGGGAAATTTCAATCTCCAATTGACAGGATACCAGCAGTCCAGGTCAGTGAGTGTCAGGATAGCAGATACAAATCATCAACTGTGGCACAACCCAGGAGAAACTGCCAGACCTCCACTGAATCAGCTCGAGTCTGCAGGAGATACCAGGACCACCAGTGATTCCAGAAGGCTTTCTCTCCCATGACTCTCTCAAGGAAGTGAAGATCAGGGAAGATGAAGACTTGAGACCAACAAAGCATTGCAAAGTCAGCTGTGCAAGCCAGCCATCACTGTCTGTTGTGTCTTATTTATACTCCCTCAAGCTTCATGGGTCCACACAGGACTCTTGCCTTACATGAGTCTTGCCTCAGGAAAACACCACACGAGTCTGTCTTAGCAAAACTCCACTTGAGTCTGTATCAGCTGACATATCCAGAAACTTCCACTTCACTCTGCCAATCAGCCCAAGTCTGCAGAAGCAGGAAGAAGCCACCAGAACATCATAAGAAGGATTTTGGTGCATTTCTCTCTATGGAGTCACGAGAAATGATGACCAATAAACAATGGTAAGGCTTACCAATACCATGCAGCCTCGTCTACTGTCTGCTGGGTTATATTTATATTCCTTCTAAACATCACGTGTCCTTTCAACGTGTGTCTACTTCAGAAAACATCAGTTTGACCTAACTGACTTTCTGAAGAAACCAGAAGTTTCATTTCAAGAGCAGTAATGTTTCTTTCTCCTATAACTTGGGTACTGCCCACTGGGCCCTTTATACTCCTGGACTATCTTATCTTTTAGCGACTTCGATTCTGGAGTTAACTCTCTGAAGTCTCTTAATCTCCCGTCCCAGCTCAGTGAACCTGTAGCTTGCATCAATTGGCATGCATGATGTGGTATTCTGCATAGTCTGCCTTAAAGTCCTGTTCATAGGCCTGTTGTTGCTCTGCATTGTGGATGACTCTGTATTGCAGGAGACCCAAGTCCTGCTCATAGGCCTGCAACCATTTCAATTAACTAATATTTACAGCACTAACGACACCGGAGGCATAAACTGAGGTTAAAAACCTGCCAGCTCATCGAGGAAACTTTATTTTCTTAACCATATAGGAGATATCTATTACAAGCCTGATTCTACAACTAAACTGCCAGCTCTTTAGAAATCCCTTGCTATGTGTCATTCTTCTGAGCTAGTCTGCATTTCTCTTGAGTTCTTCCAAACCCAGGAGGGCTCCTTAGCTCTGTGTTCTAGATTTCTGTTTTACCTGTGTCCTGCCAGATGCTTCTCTGTTGTTCCTGCAAGCTCAGAGAGGAAATCCCCATCACTTACCCGGAGCTCCTTCCATAGAAGCTATTCCAAGCTGAGAGAGAGAGAAAGTGTGTGTGTGTGTGTGTGTGTGTGTGTGTGTGTGTGTGTGTGTGAGAGAGAGAGAGAGAGAGAGAGAGAGAGCTCTTTCAAAGGTCCAGTTGCTTATTAAAGAAGTCTAGTTCCTCCCATACACCCTCGGCAGGCTGAGCCATGTCACTATCTTGGGATTTTTCTGCTCAGGGATTGCTAGCTTTTTTTTTCACCCCTCTTTTCTCCCAGCATTGGGCCCATGGGTTAGCCAGATGTAGCTGGCTTTTGCTGAGCTGCCATTTCTGTGGGCCTGCTGGGGAGTAGAGGGGACTGTAGAGGTGTTGCCACTGTAGACAGCTCCTGTGATGTTTCACCAAGGCTGCAGACTGAAGCATGAAAGAAGGTGTCACCACCATGGACAGCTCCTGTGATGCCTGCAGGCTGAGGAGATGTAGTGGAGGTGCCATTTTTACAGGAGCCCCCGTTTTGGACAGCTCCTGTGGGACATTTTACTGAGGTGGCCCATAGGCTGGAGCAGGAAGGAAGGGCCTGCCCCCACTTTGATGGATTTAGCGTTAGGGACTACAATAAGTCAGGATAAATCCTTTCTCCATAAGCTGAGACTTGTCAGATATTAAGCCACTGTGATCGAAAATAGAACTGTATTGGTTACATTTCTGTTGCTGTGATAAAACATCATGTCCAAGCAAATTTATAGAAGGTTAATCTGGGGATTAGTGTCCCAAAGAGTCAAGAGTCCATCAACATCATGACAGCAAACACCAGGCATGGCAGCAGGAACAGCTGAGAGCTCACACCTCCAACCATGCCTCCCAGTGACGTACTTCCTCCAGCAAGGCCACACCTCCCAAGCTTCCCCAGACAGCACCAACTGGGAACTAAGTATTCAAATGACCAAGAATATGGGGGTCATCTTATTCAAAGGACCACAGTAACTAACACAAACTGTGACACCAAGCTCCCAGTACAAATATGGGATCTTCTAGGTGTAGTGCCAGGGAAATGTTAGCGATCCCCAAAAACCAGACAGGAGCCGATCCAATGTTATCACAGTAGGGCCTTTTTATTAGAGCTAGCTCAGGCCAGCACACTGAGTCCTGCAGGACAGTTTTAGTGATGAGAAATGCCAAATATCTATCAGGACAAGACTTTATGGTAAGCAGCAAGTGAGGGGTGAGTGTGCATGCATCTAACTGGGAAGTTACTATGGCTTAAACATTATTGGCTGGTCCTGGGAGTCATAACATAATCTTAATTTGTGCTTCCTTCTGCAATGATGGTTGTTAGACTGAAGCTGTTCTTGTAACCTGGGGGTGCAGATTTGTTGGGGGAATAACCTGGAGACACAGGTCTTGGGGTAATAACCTGTAGATGCTGGTCTTGTTGGGGGTTAGCCTAGAAACTAGAGTTAGGCTTGGGTTTTGTTGGGAGGTAACTTGGAAACTAATGCTAGGTACAGGTCTCTTATTTTGCCTGAGTACACGTTCTCTAAAATGGAGTCTGAATTTCAAAGGTTTGGCCTCTCACATGTGGCAGCCATCTGACAATGTCACAGGTGGGACCTGGGCAAGAGTGCTTGGTTCTCCTGAGTCACCCAAGGCAATGCTGGTACCTATCTGTCAAGAAATGCCTTTTCTAATATCATGGTGGGCACCTCGTGTATGTGCCCAGTCCAGGAATAAGAAACTTTCCAAAGGAAACATTCAAACCCAGTAGTCTCCAAGGAGCAATCAAGATGGCTCAGAGTGTAAAGGTTCTTGCTACCAAGCTTGGCTCCATGAGGTTGATCCATTGAAGCCACATGTTGAACCGGGAGACCTGACTCCTGTAAGTTATCCTCTGAGCTTCACGTGGGAATCATGACATGAACATCCCTACACAAAATTATTAAATTAATCAATAAAAATGAAATAAGGAATCATGATTTTTTTCCTGTTGACAGATATGGAAACATTTATGTATAAGGACACATATGTCTAAGGACAGGTATGTATAAGTTGTGTTCAGTTTGCCTCAAGACATTCCAGTGGGTAAGTTTTCCTTTGTGCACAACCCACATTGTGATGAGAAGCTGCCAGGATGATTGAAGGGCAACCCATGCAAGGATAATCACAGGAATTTTAAACTGTTTTATGTGTTAGGTATTTATACTATTGCTTTATGGGTATGGTGTGTGAATATGGGCATTCCCTAGCTGTGGTGTGTGGGGAAAAAGGAGTCAGAAGACAACTTTGTGTCTGTGGGGTGGGGGGGAAAGGGAGTCAGAAGACATCTTTGAGGGTCCAGTTCTCTGTTTCCATGTGGGTTCTGGGGGACTGAACTCAGGTGGTCAGACTTGGTGGCAAACACCTCTACCTGAGTCACCTCACCCTCCCAGCCTGGGTTCCACCACTCTGTTTATGGAGGTGCTGAGAAATAGAACCCGAGGCCCGTGGCATACAAGGTGGGCACTCTAGTCACTGAGTCACATTCCCAGTGTTTGAAAACCAGTCAGCAGACAAGGGCTTTATGTTATTTCAAAGGACTATACTAAAGCTTTGGGATAAAGATGGAATTAGAGACTATCTGTTAAAAACAGACATGGGTGGAGTACAAGAATCACATTGGCAATGTGGCCCTCTGATCTGAGGATCTAAATCTAGGAGAACCAGGCCTGAAGAGGAAGCTTCTGGTTTCTTTGGAGACTCAATTTTGTCATGTGATGATTTTCTGGAAACTGTCTTATGGGATGACGTTTTCTGCTGAAGCAGACATGTGGTGTTTTTCTGGAAGCTGCCTGGAAAAGGGGCATGTGATGTTTTGCTAGAGCTTGAGAGATGTTCTCTTGAGATATCACATGATGTTTGGAAAGGGAATAAATATAACACAACAGACCGCAGAGGATGCTGTGTGGCATTGGTTCACCTTGCCACTCTCTGCTTTTCTTACCTGGTCTTTACTGATGATGCTGTGGCATTCATTAGCTTTGCCTTCTTTGCTGATCATTTGTCATGATTTTGTAGAGAGAAATGAACCAAAGAACTTCTGGTGGTTTTCCACCAGCTTCTTCCTGCTTCTGCAGACTCAGGCCGATTGGTAGAGCTTCCAAGTTTCTTCTGGATTGAACTGCTGTTGCTGACTCATGTGAACTCAACTGCTGATATCCTGACAACACAGAATGGACTCACCCCAAGGAACTATTTCTAAAAAGGTTCACATCTTTCTTTGCCCTAGTAACCTTTCCTTTCTACTACCTCTGGTGGGTGGTGAGCTAGA